ACTCAAATTCATCTAAACACATTTGATGGAAATGATTTATAAATTAGAGAGAACATCTAAATTTCATACAAAAAAAAAACAAACAATCTTTACATTTATGCATTCTCAATGTCATTTTTATTGTAGTGTTTTTCGATTCGAACACACATTATATTAATTACAAATCTTGTAACATAGCCATACGTTTTAAAGCTGTACCTGATCGTGCTTTTTGTATTGTTGAATATTTATTATCACCTACAGCTAAATTTTCTTCATAGGCTTTATCTAATGGTGTTTGTTGATCTTCAATTTTTTTTGATTGAATAACATTTTTTAAATCTTGTAATTGTAATGCTAATTGTGTTTGTTTATCAATAAAATGTGTTCTAAATATAGATCAATATTTTAAAATTCTATGAAAAGATTATTTTTTTAACCTTTCATCTGTTGAATTTGATTCTTGAACTTTTGTAATCGGTCGATACTATATAAAAAGAAAAAAAAATTAGAAAATGAATTTAATAATACAAAAATAATTTGTCTTTACAGGTGGTGGAGATGCTGTTGTTGTTCTTGATGATGATGATGATTGAACAAGATTATGTTGAGTATGTGTTGTTGCATTTGAAATAGGAAGTGATTGATTGAATTGAGTAATAGCCAAAAGTTTTTCTCGTGCAGCTGCTTCAGCTATACGCCATTTGGCAACTTCTAATTTCAATTCCTCAGCTTCTTTACGACTACAAAAAAAAAAAAAGAAAGAAAGACACAATAGATTCAATTTTTATCGTACAAAGAAAAGAAAAACTAAAAATAAAATAGAAAAATTCAGTTTGATTAGTTCCCATATCCTTCTAGACTAACCGCTGTTCAGTAGTTGACGAAAGAAGATAAAATTCATAACAACAACATAAATAATAAGAATTACTTTTTTTTTTAAATATAGAAAAAAAAATCAAAATTTCATAGAAATAAAATCTTACTTTTTAATTGAATCATTGACTAATGTTGAAATGACTTGTTCACATTCACGAATTTGTTGAGTATATGATCGTTTTTCTTCTTCATTCTTTAAAGAAAAAAAAAATTTGTTAGCGTAATTCTTGTGAGACTAAAAGATCGATCTGCATATATTGTAAATCAAAAATATTCTGTAACCTGCTTCAGCTTAGGGCTTCCAACGTATTGATATGTCTGCGATGAAAGATGTCATTCGTAATATGGTTACCCTACCCTACCTTACAGATTGGGATTAGAAAATTTTTCTCACATCAGTCATGACACAGTAAAAAAAAGCTTACCTACACATCTCTAGCGTAATACTATTTTGTTATTTATTACTTTTAGAGTTTTCCAACTAGGATAGAATTTTGAGAGCTGTGAGTCTCTCCAGATTCGGTTCCGAGTCCACAAAACGTGGATTGGCAGTTTCTATAGGATAAGATATGGTAAACTTTAGAAAACTTTTCTAGAGATACAAAATATGAAAAAAAGCTTGTTCTCCACATCTCTAATATATTACAATTAGTTTGGAATGTGAATCAACGATAGATAGCTTAAGGGGCCTTCCCCTTAGAAAACTCAATTTTTTGAAAAAAAAAATATCGAAGTTAAGTTCTTGTCATAGGAAAATGCACCGAAGCTTCTTCTTTCAAAATATATGTGGCTTTTTATAAAATGATCAGAGTTTCATAGACTTATGCGTTGTCACTTGCATTAGTATTGAATACAAGGTTTCATGATCTGACTTTTTTTTAAGATCAAACCTGTCTGGAAAATTGTTTACAGTGAATGTTCAATTATCAAGTAAAAGATTCAAATCACTAATCGAAGATCTACAAACTGCGGAAATCTTAGATGAATAATATGTATTTTAGTACAGCTTCTAATTCTGTTTTCCAGGAATTTCTGTGAAAGTTAGAAAATCGATAATACATCTCTCTTGAAGACTATATAGAGAAAACGTTTCTTAAAGCTTATTACATGGTATAAAATTGTCATTCTCACTACTTTTGGACTGATCTAAGTATTAACTAGCATGACAGATAACTTTCCAGGCAGGAAACTTGAAATAACTCTTTCCCGGTTCAAGCTATAATCATTATTTTTCTTTTTGTTTTGAAACTGTAAATAAGAACAACCTTTTGTCCGACCAGATTTTTTATACTTGATTCTTGAACTGAAAAAAGTGGAATTTACTGTCGTGGAGTCATCTGTTTTTTTTAATGTTTATTTTAACACCATGTCTGTTAAAAAATACTCATAAAAAATGAATGGAAACAGATTTCAAAATTCTATTTGGACAAAAAGCTAGCTTTAATTTGAAACCATTTCGAACTCTGCACCTTGTATAATAACGAAGTTATAAAGATTTTCTTGGAAACTATAAAAACACGCTGAAAGTTCGGTTAAATAGCGTAGGGCCACTGTAGATTTCAGTCCAAACGGCCAGTTCCAAATGGTAAATCAATTCTGAATGGGACTCTCTTAAATCCAATCCGTTTCCATAATAATAATCCTACCGAAGAATTTAGTTTTGTGACTAAGTGTACGTAGAACTGTTCTAAAATTCTACCCTTATATGTTTCACAAAAAATCTAATTTAACTTACTCGACTTATTTCATATTTACATCGTTCAAGTTGTGCTTCAATTTCAAGTGCTCTGGCTGTTTGTAATCGAGCTTCTTCACTATTTATATGTGCTTTACGTGCTAATAATTCTGTTGCTTCTTGATATTTAACCTGTAATTATAATATAAGATATAGTTAATTCTATAACAAAAAATCAAATAACAAACTAATGTTTCATGAAGTTCTTTCATTTGTTGTTGATAATCAATAAATTTACATTCTATTTCATCACGTTGTTTTTCTGCTTGTAATCTTAATTTACGTTCTTGTGTAAATAATCGCATCTTTTCCTCAAAAACAAAAAACAAAAAACAAAATATTCATGAACAAATTTATTAAAATAAAGATTTTTTGTATTACGTAGAGATTTCAAATAATTTACTTTTGTTTTACTATAGAAATCTGTTTCATCATGAAAAATATTATAGATAAGAAATTTAAAATATAAATTACAATATTTTCTTTATCTTATCAATAATATAAAATTATTCTAAATTTTCGAAGATTTTATAATATACTTTTTGTTGTTGTTCTTCAAAATATTTCATTTGTTGTATTTCAATTGATTGTTCTTGTCGACGTTTCATATATAATTCATGATTACCTGTTGCTAAATCAAGTATCTAAAGAATTCAATTTTTTTTTGTTTTCAAAAAACGATCATTTCATATATATATATATATATTATACCTCTTTGCTCACAGATGATTTTCCAGCATAAAATGCAAATGTTGCATGTTTATCACTAGTTAAATTTAATATGACCTAATTTAATATGAAAAGAAAAAATTTTTATATCAATAAAGAAATATTCTTTTACTTTTTTATCATGAGCTGTAACAGATTTAATATCACACCATGAGAAGAACACTTCTGGTCTTAATTTATTTTTCTTATAAAAACGAATTCCTAATGAATCAATACCAAGCCAAAGTTCAGCAGCAATAGGTGATTGATCTAATTGTTTTTGTTGTTGTTCAGACGAAGATTTATTTGTACCATGCATTTTTGATATTTCAAAAAATGATAAACCAAACATATCTAAATCTTGTGCATGTTTTAAATAAGACATTTCAGCTTCTTCTCTTGTTAATAATGCATGTGTACGCCATAAGGCAATTATACGATCAAACCAATCTTTACGAGATAATTCAATTTTTTGAAAACATGTTAATGGTAATAAAGCTTCATTTTCTAAATTTAATGATTCAGATGAAGATTCAATTTGATCATAATCACCAAACTATAATAAATTTAAGAATATTTAAGATTTTATATAGGAAAAAAAATATTTCCTATAATGAATTTAAATTTTCCATAGTATTTACCTTTGCTTGAAGTGAAAGTGACGCAAGATGTGCAGCAGTATCTGGTGGACAATAAATATCCATATTAAGAATATCATGTTTAACTTGTAAATAGAAAAGATGTCGTGTAATATCTTGTATAAGTTCATGTGTAATATCTTCAGGATAAAATTTCACAACAAAATAAAGTTCTATAATACCTTTTATATATTGTAGACCAACATTAATTACAGAAGATGAAAGATTTAATGTTGATTTTGATGGAGATATTGGTGGTGAACGTAAAAGATGAGGATTAAAATAATCTGTTAAATTAGATGAATCAGATGTTTTATATAGAATTGAATTAGATAAAATTTGTATTGGTTGTGAAATAATCTAAAAATTTCATCATTTTTATAATATATAAACTTTTATGATTTAAATAACATACTGTATGATTCGATTGAAGCCAATTCCATTCATGTGAAATTTTATCAAAATATTTAAGACCAAAATACCAATATTCTCGAAGACCAATTGTTTGACAAACAAGTGAAAATATTGTATTACCTTTTGTTGTTGCCTAAATAACTTGAAAATATATACAATTATAATTAATAAAAAGATTTACTTCAATAGTAAAATGTAATTCAGCATCCATAGTGAAAATTTTGCAAAGATATTCATCTGATTTTTTCTTACCACTACTGAATATAGGCATTAGAAGAACCGAAATTATCACTATAGCTACTATTATATCTAGAAGAAAGACAACATTTTTTTTTTACTTCAAAAATATTTATTGCATATTTCTTAAGTGGACTTCTTGTCCTATCTAAAAATGAATTCTTCGTTTTTCTCTTTTTCTTCTGATATGACTTAAATAAAAAAAATAATCTTTCATCTGTTTACTGTCTAAGAAAGATCCATTGAATTAAAATTTTCTTGTACTTAACTTTTTGCCTATGTTATATTTCGTTTTTTTTCCTTTCGTTGACGTTTTCGAACAATAACAGACCGCGTGTGTGTGACATTATCGACGAGAAATAACTATGAAGAAGAACAGAACCAATCGTTCTTACTCTTTTTTTTTTCGCGTGTTTTTTCTGCTACACAAGAAACCACATGCCAAGCATACCTTTGTCTATTTTTTTTTGCTTTTCTTTTTCTCTTTTTTTTTTTTTTAAATGTCTCTCATGTCAATGCCTAGATGTGCCACATAGTAATGTTGATTCGTTTGCAACGAATATATGACTACATATATTTTTTGTTATTAGTAATAATTTTATTAATATTTCTTTGTTGAATATTGTATAAAAATGAATCATAAAAATATACGATTTGCGTCATCAAACGTGTAACTTATGAGAGGTGTGAAACTCTTCTCTGCTTGTAAAATTCGTCCACAGAAAGCCTTCTCTGCTTTTGAAAATTGTCCATACAGTACTCCTTTTTTTTCCAGGACTCAATCATTCTGCGTCTTTCTCTTCTTCCTTTTGCTTCTAATGCTGAATTACGTCTTTGAATGTTATTAAAATAAATGAATACAAAAGAGTATTGATATGATTTACATTACTTAGATAAAACAATTTATTCAGAATGATCACTATGTGCACATAGTATTAAATACATATGATAATAATTGTTTGACTATGCATTATTGGACAGTCTACCAAGACTCATTTTGATCGAACTATTTTTAAAAAAAACAAACAATTCCTATCTACATAGACTAGAAGAAATAAATAGCATAACTTTATAAATTTATTAGATATTTAACTATATTTTAACTATGTGATCAAATAGGTCAGATCGAACTTGATAAGTGTCGATGCCATCTTTGATTGTGACTAAAACTAAATATTGTTCTTGATTATCATATATAAATATTTAATCATCAATCAATGTATGACAATTGTCTACATTGAGAACTTAAATAATAATCTAAGTCTATCGATATTGCTTCAAAATATTAGAAGAAGTAAAATATACAGAATATCTAATAATTTTAACATCCACGATGTTTTATATATTTCACAAAATGGCAGAATCTAGGCCATCAACGATTATCTATTATTAATATGTACGACACTATACATTCGAACACGAAGAATGTATACGATAAACGTAAACAACTATCGTACGCGATTGTATTTGGTCATCAGTCGAGTTGTACCAATTGAACACATCGATTTTTCAACAATAAATATAATGATAAGTATTTTGTTTTTACCTAAATAATTTTATTCTTAATTAGATTAAATAAATAAAAAAACCTATATTTAAGAGTCAGTATTTTTTTTAGGTAGATCGGGCAGACTAAATAGTAAGTAATTTAAAAAAATAAAATAAAATTTCATGTTAAAGACCGGAGGAGAAAGTTTCTCCTTCTTGGATAAGAAGATAACACACAACGTTGTATACAAACATGTTCGTTCGGTCACTTTGGTCGTTTACTACATGATAAGAGACAGTCGTAATTGAGGAGTCAAGAAGTATACGACTGTCGTGATACTTGTCCTGTATGCTATGCATTTTGTTTCCGAAAAAATATTAAATTTAATATATTCTTCTTGTTTTTTGAAAATATTAGTTTTTTTTTTATCCTGTAACTTCTGTTTGATTATATGAAGAAAAACGTATTTTACGCTTATCGTTGATAGGTATTTTTGTCAAATGAGAAAAAAGATTATTTGTTTTTACCGTTTTTTTTTTTTTGATACATTCTTTATGAAACTTCGTCATTATAGATTTTAATCTGCTTACGAAGAAAAGAACGATGAAAAACGTACATTCTACCTAGTGTAAACAAAATTTTATATTTTAGATTTCTATATAATGATGTTGTCTTGTTTTTTAACTTCTTTCATTTTTTTGTTTTTCTTTTAAATTCAAAAATTGAATATAGGCCAGAGAAAAATAATGAATCATTGAATGCTTGATTTGTTATATAGACAAAAATAAATTGAAATTTTATTGACTACACTTCAATTGCTTATTAGCATAATACATTTCAAAAAAACAAAACGGGGTGGAATTAATAAGAAAAGATCACAAATGTAAAAATGGATACAAACAAGACAAGTCTGACCTCTGTCGGTAAAATGCGTAACTTCTATTTCTTTAATTATATTCATATGATTCACATATATGCGAAATCAGCATGAAAAACTGCATCGAATCATATTTTCTATGAGAAAACAAAAATGACCACTGAGAGATTAGAAACAAAATTTTAGAAAAACTCTGATTCTGAATATGTTATCTATTTCGTTTTTTAATTGAATCATGATAATAATATCAGCACATTTTTCATTCTTTTATCTGATAGAAAAAAACAAAATGCAACTTAATCAATAGACTCAAGGTGTGACCGACCTATGTATATCGAACAGGATTTTATTAATCTTATTCATTCGAAATTTTTATATCTAAACAACAGTCAAATCAACATAAAAACTATATATTCGTGACTAGCTCGTCAAACACTCTATTAGATCATATATAAATAAATGAAACTAAAAAATCTACTCGATTTTTGCATTACCGAAATCTTATTTTAAAGTAGTAAAATATTTTTATGCATTGACAATCGGAAATAATTGCGTATGCTAATTTATATTGGTATAGATCTAATGTTGCTTGTTTGATCATGCTCCATTTTTGAGTTCATTGATTTTCGTAATTCGACAGATCTTTGACAATGAAACTCAAGAAGATATGTCATTCCTCTATTGATAAATTTTGGAGACTGACAGGTCGTCATTTTTTGTCATTAATCAGAATGAAGGAAGACAACAATGTAGTGTCTGTAGTAAAATAATCTCGTACTAGATACGAATGTATCGAAATTATCATACTTTAAAAAAATATTAATAAACTTAAATAAAAAAAAAATCAGTTAATTCTTGAAAATTTTGTGTTTTTCTCGAATGATTCAAAGAAGAACAAAAATTAAATTCAATAATAAAGAGTAATCCGATCGGAACCTACTTCAACAAATTACTTACAATGTATACTTTAAATATGAACAACTATTGATCTTTCTCACACATTTTCAAGCTATCCTATTTCCTTATTTTATAACATAAAATAAATGAGAATAATGTCGGCAATTGTTAAATATATTTTAAAACAAAAATAATCATATATAAATATATATATATATATATAACTTCTATAAAAATAAGACAGCGGAACCGGAACAGACATCAATTCAAAAGAGATCGTGCGCGGGCAAGCGTGAATGAATCTATCGTCGGACATATTTCAATTGAATATACCGTATATATTGACACCTAAAGAGAGATGATACTCTTTTTTCTTTTCCTCTTTCACTTGATTGTGAACAACAGAAAAAAAAAAAGTCACATAGAGATGCCAAATTTGGTTTGACTTATACGCGCGAGAGATCACCACCATATGTCCATAGAAGAAGACAAGCGACACAGTGATTGAGATGCAAATATAATATGGATGCGCTTGTCTCAATATATATATATATATCCGCACCATAGGGACGTTGTACATCAAGAAGTAACATATTCATTATAGACTCATCGCAAGACAATACTCACAAGAGAAAAAGAAAAAGAGAGAGAGAGAGAGTCAATCCAGCTGATACGACCATCTGGTCTCCCTTTTGATTAGCTCTACTCGTTCTAAATCCCTTTCTTCTCTGCCATAAGATCAGAGAAAAGGAAAAAAAATATAGTAATCCGCTATAGTTGAATCCTCTTCCTTCATTCATTCTTAATGATCTATTGACTTTGTTTTTTTCTTGTCACTTGTCTATCAAGATGATTCAGGTAAGTACAATAAATTGATAATTTTGTGTTATTTTTTCTTTATGACAGTATCACACAAAATATATATATATATATATAGAGAGAGATAGAGAAAGAAAAAAAATGAAGGAGAAACACTGTGTAAAGTGTATAACAAGTGAAAAAAAAAACTCGAAAGCAGAAAAAAAAAAAAAAAAAAAGAAAGATTGTTACAAATGTGTTGGATAATGATATTCATAATAATCTCCTGTTGTTCCTGTTGGTGTCGATGATGGACTTGAACTATTCGTATGATGATGATGAAGATGATGATTTGATGCTGATGCTGTACCATTTCCTAATGGTGGTGTAACACGTTTTTCTTTTTGTCGTCGATTACAAAACCATACACGTACAACTTCTTTTTCAAGTTGTAATTGATCAGCTAATTGTGTTATATCTTGTGCAGCTGGTTTAGGATTACGTGCAAAGTGTAATTCAAGTGATTGTTTTATACTAACTTCAATAGATGTACGTTTTTTACGTTTACGTCCACTAGCTGCAATTTTTTCCATTGAATTTGTTGTACCTGTTTGTGATTC